CTACCAACAAAGCTGACAACTTTGGATTTCCTCCATTTCTTTTTATGTTTATGTTAGATTTTTAATGAAATTTTTACAATCTCTTGGTGTGAGATAAAACTGAAAGCGCAAGACGGTTGAGAATCTCTAAATTCATGTGCTTGAAATTTTTCTTACCATGTGGTTGCATACATACCAACAAATTTTAGGGAAAAAATGTATGTAAATATGAGTGGAACTCTTGGGAAAATATTTTAATCCATTTACATATATATCTAATGCCTAACTTTTTTTATTTAATCTAAAGGGGATTTACATGCATACCCTCCAATTCTTACGCATTTATATTTCTAAACTCTAAATTTAAATTTTGTATTTACATAAACCAAATCTTTAATATCATATAAAAAAAATCATTAATTTAAATTTAATATATTATTTATTTATTATTTAATTAAATCGAGCCAAAATGAGGCAAACACGAGTAAAAAAAAATTTGTTCTTGTTGGGCTCATTTATAAATTGAGCTACAAAAAATTGTTCGTATTTGACTCGTTTGCTCAATGAAGGGATTAAACATGAGTTGTTCGAAAATGAAGCGCTTTTTTAACAACCCTAATCTTGAGGCTGGTTGATTGCATATCACGTGTTTGGGAGCACAAATTTATAATCACTGTCGATTAAGCTTACGAGATTGTTGTTTGTAATTTAGATTTTTTTTTAAGGAATCCCCGAGAGAATTTTATTAATTCAAAATAAAGAGTCCAAAGTCGGCTAGAAGGATCCTCACTACACATAAAATACAACACACGCAAACAAAAACTTAGGAAATCCGCCCCTAGGGGTACAACTCACGCAAAAAAGCTCCAAGAAAAACGAAACACACTAAAAAGAAGTATATTGTGCCGCCAAAAGCATAAGCAGAACTAACAAAAACCTGCAAGAAGCTAAGACAAAAGCGCAAGAAGAAACATCAATAACTTGCAACAAGCTAAGACAAAGTAGAAACAACGAATCGAAGAATAACCAAGTGAAGCCAGAAGCCAAAGTGAATGAAGTGTTAAAAGAAGATGAATAAAATAAAATAAAAAGAAGGAAAACATAATGTAAGAAAGGGCAAACCTGAAACCAACGTGGTGAATCAAAGCAAGCAAAGGAAGAACACACATTAATGGCCAAAAGAGTAGGACACAACCATCATCACTGAGATAAAAAAGAAGACACAAAGCCCACAAATACTAAAAAAAAGAGCAACTCAAAAAAAAAAATAAAATAAAAAACTAATAAAATCTATCTATCACTAGTAAAATTCTAATAAAATTTTAAGGATAATTAAAATTTATGATTAAAACATTCAAGATTTTAAAATATGTTTTTCACTTACTTGCATTGCCTTCAGGCCTATTTTAAAACGGGTTGCATAGCATGAACATATCTCAAGTCATACTAATATGGTATCCACACTTATGATTGCGGTAGATAACTGTATCATGTGCATGTCTCGAGGATAAGCCCCCGTGCTTATCCTCGGAAGCCACCATAGAGATATCAGATCCTACGAGGGCTTCCCCTCATGGAGATGTCAGATACTATAATAAAATAAATATTTTCTTACACTCATACGACAAGGGAAAAATGCTGGTTTCGTAGACCCATAAATTATGAAAATTGTCTTCATCCGGATGACTAGAGCCAATCTAATGTAATATTTCTATCAATCAGGATGATATTTTTTTTCTTTGAATGTCACATCTGATAATTTAGATAGAAATCTTCTGTGATATATGATTGATATACAATAAAAACCCCATCATTTAGTCAATGATGAGTACATTTATTTGCTTATATTTTTTTTATGACATATTGATTAGATATGCTAGTTAGATTGAGGTTGATATGATTAAGAATCAACTGTCAAATAATTTCAAGATGAAGGGGTTGGGTGAAGCTCATAGAATTCTTGGCGTGAAATTTTCAGGATAATGTAACTAAAAAGGTTTAGCTCTCACAAGAAGCATATGTTCAAAAGGTCTTGAAAAAGTTTGAGGTTGAAGACTCAAGCAAGAAAACAAGTGCACCCATTGCATCTCATATTTGATTAACTTCAAATCAGTGTCCTAAAAAGGATATTGAGAGAAAATATGTTCGAACGGTTCCTTAGGCTAATATTGTGGGTAAGATGTAAGCTATGGTTTCTACTAGACCCGACATCACACAAGCAACTGGTGTTGTTAAATTATTTTAAGCATGATCTAACATGGAGTTGTTTACAAGCTATAAAAAATATTTTGAAGTATCTAAAGTTTATAATTGATGTTGGCCTGACATTTGAGAGGCATTCATCTATTGATGATTTATGAATATGATATGTTGACTCCGACTATACATATGATATCGATAGACATAGGTCAACAATTGATTACTTATTCATATTGACAGGAGGTCTAGTTAGTGGGAGATTGATTCTTTAATTTTTTTTTTACTTTTTCTGCTTCAGAAACTGAGTACATAGTTGTCATGGAGGCGATGAAGGAAGTGATACAAATGTAGAGCCTAATGAATGACTTGGGAGTTGATTAGGAGTCTCTGATGATGTTCTGTGACAGTTATAGTGGTTATCCTTGGCCATAAATTATGTTCATCATATTCGTACCAATTACATTGATGTGAGGTATCACTTTGTTTGGGACATAATTAAAGATGCTAATTTTTTGTTGAAGATAATAGATACAAAGGTGAATCCAATGAACATGCTCATAAAAGTACCACTAGTTCAAAATTTCACATACTATAAAAGTTCGGTGTACATCCGAGCTCATTATTAATTGCTCATTCGAGTATTTTGAAGAACTATGAGAGGTTTGATCCCTTCGGGTGATGGGGTACGTAGGCAACCATCTTGGTTCAGTCGTTATCGTGTTAGAGTGCATTTTGATCATCTCTCACTTATCTAGAAGTGAGAAACCCTAGATTATTATGAAAATATTAAAATATAATGATTGTAAACTAGGAAGTGTGCATATTATGAGGATTAATATTAGGTAACATAATTTTAAGACATCTAATTATATATTCATTCTATATTATGAAACTTAATTTAAGGAGTTCTAAATATATGCTCTTCGCGATATTTATATTATTTCTAATTTGTATATCCTAATCTTCTCTTTTTTATGTGAAGGGTTATGGAAGATTTGAGTGTATTGAGTTGTAAACCTAATTCAATTAATTTTTTCTTTCCTTCTGACATATTGATGGTGGAATAACTCTGCCCGTGGATTTAGGCTGATTTGTGCCAAATCAAGTAAGTTGCATTGTATTAGGTTGTTTTTTTTTTGGTTTTATGAATTTATTTTCCGCATTATTTTGCACAAAATGTGTAATATATTAAGCCAAGCAATAAAATTGACCTATCACAGATGATCACCTTATGTAGCAATCATCAATAACAAACAATGATTGGTCATTTAAAGTGTAAGTTAAGAATGATAGAAAGATGCTCACCTTTAATTTTTCAATTCTTATTCTTATGTCTTACAACAAAAAAAAAGTTAATAACTATATTATTAGGGGTTTTATCATTCCCAAATATTCTTACCTTTCTTTTTAGCCAGAAAACATGAGTCATAACATGAACAATGAAAAAAACCCGATAGAACTTCTATTTTCTTCAAGGTTGGTTCAAGTATCAAAATCAAATATATGACAATTTCTTTTTTTTTGCATTTTAAGTATCACTTCAGGCAAACATAATGCATGGAAAGAACAACATCTTTCTTCCCATACATTCTTCACCATTATAATTTTTATATGTTAATGTAGCCACCCAAGTCATCAAGTTTACTCTCAAAATATGTAGCTATAAACATAAACAATACTTAAAATTTGACACTTTCTCATTGCCAAAG